GTTCGAACTCAAAAGCGATTGGACAGTTGAAAAGGTTCCCTCGTAAGCTTGATCACTAATTGAATTACACGCATTTATTAAGTGAACATGACTTTTGGAACACTCTTTACATACTCGCTTGTATGATTTAAAACAAGATCAAATATAATGCGCATATCTCGAGCATGAACTTGTTTTATCAATTCATCAACATCTTCCATTGTACCAAATACATCCATGATGTCTTGATAGTCAGATATATCATATCCATTATCCTAGGAAAACAATAGTAAGTTTTACATATAGATAAAAAATAAAATATTTACATCATTTGCACTTTTATAAATTGGACAAATCCAAATAAGATCAGCTCCAAGATCTTTGATATGATCAAGGCGTTGAATAATACCTACAAAAACAAAGAAGAAAGACTTCTAGACTTATTATTTTTTCTTTTATTGATAAAAATTTACCTTGTATATCACCTATTCCATCTCCATTAGAATCTTGAAATGATCTTGGATAAATTTGATATGCTATAGATTCTTTCCACCATTTACGACGAACATCAGTTGTAGGATGAAATGATGATTTCATTGTTGATTCTGGCTTAAGAACTGTTGATGGGTTTTCTGTGACTGTAGACATATTATTATGGGAAAATGAAGAATAAAATAATCTAAAAGAAATTTGTTGGCCAATCGAACAAAATAATGATATGGAAAAAACAATGACCGTATTGATATGCGGAACAGTTTTGCTATTTGCCATACGTCAAAATTCAAGTGTTATTTTTCAATTCTATCTGTTGTCTTAGTGACAAAACATAAATAAAGAAGAAAAAATGCAATATTCACTTAGTAAAAACAAAGAAAGAAGCAGAGTTCAAAAAGTAGAGAAATATTGCTTCTATAAAAATGTACTTCATCTTAATACAAAGTTCTATGATTTACTTGTACATTTTGTTATATGAGTTATTTGAACTTTATTATACCAAAACATATATATCAAGGTAATTTACCAATAGATATACATTTGTTATGACAAACTGTAAATATTTGTAATGTAAGAGAAATCCTCTATACCATCAAGATCAATTTCAGTTTCAAATAATAATCGGCGTTTAAGAACACTTGGTATTAAAATAAGTAATTCATCAAATTATTGTTTATCAATAGTATTTATATCAACATCATCAAACCTTGTTGAGTCTCCACTACGTTTTTTGGTTTCTGAAAAAAATTGGAACATATCTTATTGTGTTATTGCGTAGAAGAATAAAGATTTTTACTTCGATCGACATGTTTTGTTATTCGATTAGTTGATAATCATCCTTTATCTGTTCTATTATCATCTTTTGAAGTATTTAATTTTTAAAAAACACCGACGAATAGACAAAGTTTGTCTAAAAATAAAAATAATAAATACATCAAATATGAATAGAGTTGTTGTATATTTTTATTGTTGAGCATGAATGATACATTGAAATTTTGTTTTCAAAAGTCTAACAAGTCAATATATACTTATTATAAGTGATCTAAGAAAATAATTTCTTATAAGAAATCTTTATTTGAATTACTAATTTTATTTACTTTGTTGATAGAATATTTCTAGTTGATGTTTGTTGATCATCTACATTAGGACATAGTTGTATATCATCATCAACTTTTGTCATCACTGTTTGTTGATGTGTTTGTTGAACTTCAACTGATCCAACTAATTGTTTTGCTCTTTGTTTTTCAGCACCACTGAGAAAAGGTTTTTTCATTATCACTTTCAATTTCATCACCAAAATCTGAAGCCTAAATAATAAAATTTACATAAATATAAATTATAAAAAAAGAGAAGCAGACTTATTCCATTTGTTGTTGTTCATGGATTTCTCGTACACTACCAATATCACCTAATGTTTCGATTCGATCAGCATCATCTAGTTTATCTTCATTATCAGGAGGAGAAAGAATATTCCTGTCTTTTGACTACTTTGCGTTATGAGATGATGCCTAGGAGCAGATTCAGTAATCGGATACCTTCTCTACAACTATTACAAGCTGTAACTTTGGACAGAAGGCAACTCTGACGCAAAGTTTTTGCGTTCGATTGCTCGAGCTCTGCACACATACTAACTATCTACATGCTAGTCACAGAAGTATGTGTGTCATAACGTAGTTATGATGTTATCGGACAAGCAACTAGAGACAAACAACCATTAGTCATTTGTCCAGGGTCATTCTTTGTTTGATAATATTGAGGCTTGAATCAGATGGTTGATTATATAATTGATCAACACGAATAAGTTCATTAATAGGTACTTGAGATAATGAATAAACATGAGATAATCGTGATGTAACAATTGTTATTCGTGTTGAAACATTTTGGTGGTAAAAATTGTAGGAGTAATTATCTTTTAAGTGAAGTAGCGCATGCATTCAGTTATCAATTTGAGAATAACTATTTTGAACATTATTACATAACATATGAAATTTATTTGCATCAATCTCTACATTTTGTACAATATCTTCAAGTGCATCTAATAGTTCTAATTCTTCTTGTTAATCATGATGAGTAAATATTCCACTGTTTATATCGATACCTGATTGTTCTTCATCTTCATCTAACGTTGACAAACCTTAGCGATCTAAATAAATGAATAAATTTCATATGTTATAGTACAAAACAAATAGTTACATTTTTATTTTTAGCCATGATTGTGAATTAATTGTGTTCGTCAAAACAGAATCAAGTTCTTTTTTATCTCTTTTCTTTTTCTTCCTTCTTTACATTGTGAGTCATATATTTAAAATTTAACCTATAACTACGAGCCTCTTTCTTTAGAAAAAGTACCAACTGTTCATTTCTTTTCTTTATTGTGTTTGTGGAAGTGTTCTTTCATTATTTGACTTAATACATCTAGATGCCTATCAGACGTACAATGATATAAAATGGAACAGTTAGAAAGTACAAAAAACAAAAGAAAAAGCTAAGAGAAAAAATAAATTTCGCACGAGTCAGAGCTGAATATTAAAAGAATTATCGAATATATGCGCAGATTTATATCTAAGATATAGTGCGGACTGTTATCAGACAAACTATAGCGAAAAAATCGGATCAATAGCAAATGCTGAATCATTAGTTAGTTGATTTCCTGCATGGACAAGATATAGCACTAACATCAATAAATAAAGAAAATTTTTCTCGATCGAACTGCGTTTTTGATTTATTTTTGAAAATTAGCATCTAATTACAGAAACGTCATAATATATGAGATTATAGCGACATCTTTTAGCGTATTTCGTTTTACTGAGTAAAATATTGAAAACTAGCATTGAGACTAGACAAACGAACACCTTCCTAGTTTATTTACATTACTTCGGCTTAAAAATTCTACATATTGACTTAGAAAAAACAGAGTTTAGACATATGGCTCCCTCCAATGTATATATTTGATATTGGTTCGATGATTCATCGGGCAATGAGTACGTACTAATATTTTATCTGTGTGAAACTACTACAACACAACCACTCACTACGGCAAGTGAAAAATTACTAATTGTCAAAATGTAAATCAATCAGAAGGTGATAAATAAAAAAAAACACCACAATAAAGGACAAATTCATAGACATGGTACTCCATCGTGACCTTGACATTTATATCATTGTTATCAATATCGCACTCAATATTATCGAGTGGTCCAGAAGAAATGGCCTACTCTTTATGCGAAATTATTCTATGTATAATCTCAATAATTTTTTGTGTTCATGAGAAAAGGTGTGTACAGTAAAATTTTCTACAATAGCATTGAATATTTTATTTTAAAAAATTGAAAATGAACAGATGCAACAAAAAATATGAAAGAGCCAAAGCCGTTAACTTTCTAAACTACATTTTAGTATGCTTAAGATATTTGCAAATGAGGTCCTTAATGTTGTCAAATTTGCTCTTTCTTCTAGTATCTCACAGAATTCGTCTAAGTCTAGAGTTACAGAAGAAATCATAGGTTTTTTATAAATCCTTTAATGGGCGGTGGGACATATATGTCCCACTTTTTGTTTTCGATTGCAGAACTAAAATAAACTAGGATCAGTGACTTTGATAGAAAGAACGATGATACTGCAGTGATCTTGGTGCTTATTTTGTATAGCACGTGGTTGTTGCACCATCCATTTAATATAAAACAAGGATATGAGCGTGTATGTAAATGTGAATCTTTTATTCAAACCCAATAACACTCATAACCTCGTGCATGATGATCTAGATCACAATCTATTTGACTATGTCATTGGCATCGATAGAACTTAGCTATCTTAAATTCGTCCGTCAGAGGGTTAAACTAAATGGCACGTGAAGTTTTACTATTTCATTCAGCCTATTAAACGTGACGAAGCCATTGAATGTGAGAAAGCTATTGAACGTCTTCTAATTGAATATAACAAGCATCCTATATCTCTGCAAATAAACAAATTCTAGTTCAAAATGTGCTGATTTAGGAGAGCTATAAGGATTTTTCTACAATGATGCTCTGCTTCGCTTCAAACATGATGGTTTTAGTGGAAAGCATAAAAACTAATTCACTTTTAGTTGATCTTGAAGTAATTTGTTATTAATTATTTGACGAAGACAGAGATTATCAATTGCTACGAAGTAAATAGTTAGATGTGTATATCCTAGCATATAAAACATTAAAAATGGAAAACAATCTCATTACGTGTTTCGAAAGTTGACCACTTTGCTGTTTTTTTTAGAGTCTTTTGTGCAAATTTTTATTTTCATGTTTGAAACAAAACAGTTAACAAGATTTTATTCAAGACTTTGTAGCTCATCTTTTCCATGAAAATATAAGTTATTGCGATTACATGTAAAAAATTTCGTATACAAAATTACCCATCTCTTTTGAAGGATCTGAAATGATCAAGTATTGGGACTTCTTCGTCCTGATAACTCGAGAGGTTCAATATGGACTCCGATTATCTCATGAAAGTGTAACAAAAATAGAAGTGACTTATCTGTTGCTCAAACGTATTGCCCCATTCATAGACTTTGAACAAAACTGGCTGCGTACATTTTTGGACATAGTGAGATGTGACCGTTAATTGAAGAGTTTTCTCAGTCTCTCACTAGTGTATCACAGACGCAACCAGTATCGAGCTGTTTCACGGAGTGTCGTCACTACTGATGATGCTCTTTTTTCTCAAGTGTGAACCATTAAAGCAGAAAAATATGTTTCCGAAATTTTTAATAAAACAAAATTTTTATTGTTCTTTTAATAGAATAATGTAAACAGAAAAGATGAACGAAACATACTTTTCTGAAATACATGATCGAGATAGAACAGTTTATCAACATCATAGAGCATTTATTTCTGAATGAAACCATACATAACTTCTCTCTCGCCAATCAGGTCCAAGCTTGAAAGTTTTTCGACGACACGTACGTTCAGATTCTAGGACAAATAAGAGAACAATTGTTCTGTCCATCACACTCATAGTCAAGGCAAAACATATTATCAATATGAGACACCATTTTATTCTGAATCGAGTAAGATACAACTTCTCTCTCTTCAATGAGTTGAAGGTGGACATCATTGCTAGAATCATCATGATGAGATTTCGGTACAATTAAGGAAACATCATTCTTTCTTTATGGAACTCATGATCGAGGGAGAGGAGTTTATAAATATGATAGAGTATTCAATTCTGTATCGAATGAGATACTACTCCTCTCTCGACAATGAGATTCAAGCTGAAAACTACTGTTAGAATCTCCATGATGAGATTCTATTATAATTGAAAGAATATTTTTTCTCTTTATGAAACTCATGGTCAGGCTAAAGAAATATAATAATATGACGAAGCATTTAATTCTGAATTGAATGGGATACAACACCTCGCTTGGCAATGAGGTTGGACGTGAAAACCATTGCTGCCATCATCAGGATGGAATTCTGGTAGGATTATCAGAACAAATTTTTTAGTCTCGAATTCATGGCCGAGAGAAGAAAGCTTATGAATAAGATAGAGCATTCAATTCTCTTTCGAACGACATATAATTTCTCTCTCGATGACGGGGTTAAATCAAGAAACTATTGGTAGAATCGCTAGGATGAAATTGCACTAGAATTAGAGGGATCCTATTTTTTTTAATCAGACTCATAGCCAAGAGAGAAAAGTTTATGAATAAGATAGAGCATTTAATTCTCTATCAAACGATACATAACTCCTCTCTTGACGATGCAGTTAAACCGGGAAACCATAGCTAGAATCGTCATTGCGAGATTTTCGTACAATTAGCGGAACAGTTTTTCCAGTGTCAGACACATGACCGAGAGAGAAAAGTTAATAAATATGATAGAGCATTTAGTTGTGAATTGGATGAGATTCAACTTCGCTCTAGGAATATGGCTGAAGTTTGAAAGGACTTCTCAATGTGGTCGATGTAAGATTGTAGTGCAAATAACGGAACAATTTCTCGTCACTTTCAGACTTGGTTCCCGAAGATTAACGGTTATATATGTATGATAGACGATTATGTAGTGAATCGATTGATGTCTATATCTTGTCATAACCACGCGTCTTAAGGTACAATATATTTCTTAGATATTGACAACTGGAGGTTTGTGGAAATAAGTGAACAATATCTTCCTGTGTGAAGAATGGTGTGGGATAATAAAATGACATCTGGCATTCCACTCCGCCTCTTTCTCCTCCTTTTCCTCTTTTCTTTTAAAATTCCTCTTTTTAGCCTCTTTTTTCAGAAACATTCTCTTTTTCCTCTTTTCTCACAAAAAAGTAGCTTGTTGGCGAAAACATCCATGAATATATTGATTAATGTTACTATCAGAGATGTGCGGTCCACGGGGTTCACCCCGCGGGGCCACG